TATATATATATATATATATATATATATAATATATGTATAATCTTTAAGATTACCAGATTCCTCTTCAGGATTACCAGACACAATGCAACGTAACGTGCGATGAGAGAATATAGCAACATAGCATAGCAAATCCATCATCACATCGCATCATCAAGAAGATTCAGTTCCTTAAGGCAAATGAAGATGATTGATTTCGAAAGTTCCTCTAAATGACAATTACTTCTACGTAAACATGTGATATACACCGTAGAGTTACCAGTGCAATAAAAGTTTCATTTCGACAACTTGTTTCAATAATTAGTTGTTCAGTTCTATAGTAATTATAAAATACCATCTTTACACAACAAATAAGCATTTTATTTATTTTGTTTATTTTTTCTCCATCCCTAATTTTGTCGCATTATCCGAAATTTCGGATTTGCGGTGTTCTACTGTACTTCCTACAATTCTCAAAAAGTCGTGTTTATATACAAAGGAAAATACTAATATCGAATAAGTAGAGTACAGAACGTTCTGTAATGCTACGGAAAAGAGATGAGATTTTACCGGAAATTCACATTAATACACCGCGGCTGCACATTGAAAGAAGACAGAGAGCGGCATTGCGATACTCGGGTCACCTGACGCCCCTCCCCTTGGCAAATGGGCTTCCCAGAGTTCACTGAAGCTCGATGATGACACGGTGGCAGACAGCTGATCATTCGTGGATAAATCTAACTCGGGTTACGAACTTATAGCTCTTCTCTGTACCGTGTAACGTGTTATTGTCGCGAGAAATGCCATTATCGTTGCACGTCGCCGTGTTTTTAATTGGAGAAACATTTTTCATTGTGGCGCGAAGAAGATAAAATGCGTTAAAAATGTGAAAAATGTGTTAATTTACATTTTAGTACAGGCAGGAAATGCCCAGACTATTCAACGTGTGCGCGAAAACTAGAAATGTCTCGGTATACCCGTTATGATTGGTTATTCTGTAGCCAATATTGTAAAAACATGTTTTATTTTCCTCATTTGATCATCGTACGCTATCGGGTGTGTGGAAGATTATGATGCTGTATTGGAGAAGCGAATACGACCAACGAATAGTTACAGCCCTAATTTCACTAAAGGTTAGTTTTAATCGTCATCAATTTCTTTTCATCTTGTTCGTAGAGAACAACTGTTTTTAGAAGGCATTGGAAGACTTTTCCGAAGTGCTCTGTAAACCTGACAAATTTAATATTATTACTTGAAATATCATGCTTAAAATAATCAAAATTAACTTATACTGGAGCAATGCTTTCAATTACAATAAAATAATTTTTAGAAATTAGGGTTTAAATATACTTCATTTTACATTTTCGATTTTATCTACAGTCACATAGTAGGTGTGACCTTAATCGGAGCACGTGTCAGCATCATTGGCTGATCCAACAGCATAATTTGCTCCTTCGTTCAAAAACAAAAAAAACCAACAACAACTTCGGATATAAACAATATTTTGTTCTAAATATATGACGCGCATGTTTTATAATGTCTAAATAAATTGTTTTCATAAAAAAGTGTGTGAAAGATCCTTCACACCAGAAATTGAAATCTGATGCCGGGGGTATGTTCCTTTGTCGAAAAAGCGCACAAGGCCCTGTACTACAAACTAAACGTCAACGTTGTGCGCTATTCTGCGGGTCAAAAGTATAATCGCGATTTCCGAGCGTATCATCCACTAGAAACAATTCCAGGGCGAACCTCTCGCAAACACATGTATGTACATGATCGTATAGTAAGCTTTATTTTCATATTGTGTATATTGTAATGTTATATCTGTGGGAAATCGTTTTGGCTATCGTGAAACATTGTGTTATTCAAAGAAATTTATCATAATGAAGAAATCAAGAAGTGGTGCTTAGAAAAGGACCGAGAAAAATGAAGGACAAAATGATTGTATTAATATGAATGTTCTGAAAAAATCGGGTGCAACGATACTGAAAATAAATTGTAAGTATCATAACCAATTGTAACAGTAATTCATTTCAGTTTCATCATTGTTAAAAATTACAAGTATTAATAATTGTACGTTGTGGAATCCAATTAATTGAATGACCGTTAGGAATTCTAGCACGTAAAATTGGAGGGGGTGCATCGAAAGAAGAGTAAACCTCCCTGAAATTCTAAATAAAAGTCACGGCAACCATTTTATTCATTTATTGCAAATACCAAGGTGCACCCCGAGAATTAAAAAAGGACGAGTTTTGTCGTAGCTCTTCATGAATGCAATAATGTACTCTAACAATGAACTTTGTGTTAGAAAAGACAGCAAGCATGGAGACGATAGCGGCGACTGTTAGAATAGTAGTGCTCATTTTTTAAAACTAATCTATAAAACGAATATTCATAACAGTATTACATTCTGTACAATGTTAACTATTGTTAATTCCCTCCTCCATTCAGCCTCTACTAACAACAGAGACTGTAACAAACCGTATAAATGCATTGTGTATGTTCAAGAGTCACTGAGTAAACCTTGATAATCCTTCCTGAGTCACTGGGTAAACTTAAAAATGACAATTGTTCTATAGCATTTTCTAACAACACAACCCTCAACAATTATACTTAGCAGGGCCAAAGATAGGATACCTACAGAAAACATGAGCAACCTGATATATTCTGTACCATGTGACGGTTGCGATAAACTTTATACTGGATAGAAGGAAAGGTTGAACCAACACCAGAATGTCATCAAAAAAACTCTCACACAAGCTCTTGATCAACATAAAATTAACTAGCCACCAGTTCAGTTTTAATGCAAGCCAGATTTTTGGCAAAGAAACTAATTATAAAAAAAGGCAAAGAAATTATTCTCATCAATAATCAGCATATACAAGAAAGAAAAAAAATGTGCTGTGCTATATGAAAATAAAACAAAGTATTTTATGTTTAATTTTCATTATAGACTGGTTTATTTCATATAGACCAGGCATTGTAACAGGATAATTATCATTTCACGTCCAGTTTTTTGTGCTAGGTCCTAAAGAATCGAATTTATTATATTACCATTTAGTGTAAATTAAAATGCCACAATTATATTATATCATTTTGTGTGTGTTTTTCAAGAACTGAGCAATTTTGTAATACTTTCATTTATTCGAAAAGCTGTTAGTAGAAGAATGTTAGTTTGCCTCGTATAGTTCTTAATATACAATTTTTTTTCTCCTCCTTAACTATAAGCAAATACGGTGAATGTTGATGTGGTGTTCCTTTAGAAACTTTGGCAAACTGACATTAATTCTTTCCAGAGTCCAAGCCCCACCAACCAGCCTTCACTAAGCGTTTTCTATTAGAATGATGATCGAGTATTGCACTCATCCAAATTTCGTGATTTGTGATTAACTGAAAGGTAGTGGGTCAAGATGATGCATCACTATTATTAACTGGTTTTATAATATAGACACTAAATTTTAATAAAATCATAAAATCAAAAAAATTAACTATTCATAAATGTGTTCAACTAGGTCCACAGTAAATAGTGATTGTATTGTTCTAGAATTTGTACCCCCCCCCTCATTTTCTTAATTTTCAAGACTTAGTGCTGAATGCTATGAAATAATGTTTTGGTGGTATTCTTTGTTCATCATTGTTTTTTTGTTTTTTTTATTAATAAATATGTACAACTTTACTGAATTTTCTACAGCTATATTTCACACATATTTAATTTTTGGTGTGCACAGTTTCTTTAAAGAAGCTGAGAAAAATCAATTACATAGTATGTCTATAATAATAAAACATCTCAAAGTTTTCATATTTGTAAGAAATATTACATTTAAACACATCAAAACTCTGTCATTTTTAATAAAGAAAATTATGATCTTACAAAACTATGAATAGAAGAATTTATGAAAGCAAAGTAATATCAAGAGGAAATACATTAAAACTGTAATGTTATGAAACATTATTTAGAAGTTGTTAGTAAGCCAATTTTTGGAGGACATCTAATGTTGTATTGCAAAAAATAATTGATGAAATTA